CGAACATTTGCAAATATTAATTATAAGGGGGTTCACGGAATTATGTACCTTTCTTGAGGGGTTGTATGTGGAAATTCTCGACAAGACTGCAATTCCTCATTCCAATCTCTTTGCATACCAATCAACTCACTCCCATATGAGAGAGTCAATGCATCCTCTGCTCTGGCTGCATCACGTTTGTGATCTGAAAGAAGCACAAACAACAGAATCAACTTAATGTGGAAAAGGATCAAACTAAGAAATTTTAACCTCCAAACTCATGCCATTAAACAATACTAAAAGAAAAGAAACCATATCATCCCTCTAAGGGTCCTACTAATATTCCAGTCAACCTCGAAGTACCATAACGACAGACACATTTGTAGCAAATACTACCATACTTCTGTTGCAATGTATCATTGTTAAATTTGTTATTTACTTAAAAAATGATGAAATATATTCTTACCACAAAAAAATTTGCCCTCAATGTCAGACAGCTAAACATTTTCAAAAGGATGTGCAGGAGCTAAACATCAAACTTCAGGAAGTAAAAATTACCAGGAACTGGATATAATTCCAGCCATGAATTTGGTGGCAACAGAGATTGAACATTTTCAAAAGGATGTGCAGAAGCCTTCCGCTCCATAATCTCCCGGAAAGCTTCAAGACAAGAACACAAAAGGAAACAATTATTGGAGAAACCGTTCATGATACTAGAAAATTTCAACCCTCAACACCAGTTAAATATAATTTTTTACAAATTCTGTTACCTTTTTTGAACTTAGAGCTGATTTTCTGCAGGAGCCCAATGAGAGTTGTAGCTTCAGAACCAGCTTTGCTAGGTCTGGGGTCAAGAACATTCCCCGTGCTTGAATTGACATAAAACATCTTTGTGGTTCCCGTAATACAGTATTTGCTACCCTCTAATGTTATTATATCCAAATAGATCAAATCCCCTACAAGCCTGTCCCCACAAAAGTTACAATACGTTGTTGATACTCATTCAAAAAAAAGGCCCAAGAAATAGGTGAAACACAGAAGTAATTATAGAAAAGAAATGTCAGCATTTTACCTTCGATAGCTTGGTGGAGGATTGAAGGATGAAAAAACAATACTCTCAACACATTTGATCTCCTTTGAAGATGAAGATAGCAATTTACCTAATGATCCAGCAACATCCTCCATAAAGCCCAGGCCATCAAGCTCGGGAACATCAGTCCTTGCAGCATCTAAACAACAATAAAATTGAAAGTCAAAATCCTAAAGTCTATAAATTGGTAAAACAAATAAAATAAGTGACATGGACAGTGATTTCAGGTCCAACTACAAACCTCCCGAATTTGGAGCTTTACTTTGTGCATTCTCATACTGCAATGCAAGCGATGTTGAGAGTGAGGCATTAAGTGTAGAAAGGGAAAGCAAATCTCTTGTGCGGTGAACATGAGCTCTGATAGATCTATCATCATATAATGCTGCCACAATAATTTTCAGGTTAGAGCCCGCATACAGACCTTAAACCATAAAATGGAAAGCAGTGCTACCATACCAGCAACCATCTCCAAGGAGCAACCAGCAATAGTAATGTCAGCTACTTCTGATATTTCATTGTAATCTTCTAAATGATGAGTTGAACCATCCTTAATGTGCAGCAGTAAATCATAGCATGTGAAGAAACAGGTCTCAGGAGCATCAAGGAGGAATTGCCGTATGTCCATGACAGAATCTCCAGGATTCAACTGCATATTCAAATAAATTACTCAATTCAGGATTTTAATCACATTAGTAATAAGGTATCTATGCAAATAGAGAATTCAATTTTTAATCAGAATTCAATGAGAATGAATCCACACACACGGATGCATACGCACACCTAACCATACAAACACACAAATGCAAACCAGAGAAGGAGTGAGAAGAGATAGTTTCACAATCAAGTTGGCTCACTTGCAGCTCCAGTTTTTCCCCGCTTTGAGTTTTAACAGACACTGGATAGAGATGAAGGTCACCTGCATTAGCATGGAGGAAAGAAACGAGTGAGCCCAACAACAATCTAAAGAAGCATTCATCAGAACCACAAAACATACTAAAATCAAGATACCACATAAACAACAGCCGAAAACACATTGTTAACCTAAGTTGGATGCATCTAAAACATATAAAGGTGCTGATAAGGAAGATTCATCTGTTTAAAATTGTTTAAGGCAAAATTCGCAAATGCACGTGTGTGCATGTAGATAAATCATTGAAACATATGTCATGCCATTATTCTTTCCCAAAATGGAAAAATATCGAAGCTCTTCCATTAAACCATGAGGGTAATAAATCTCTTGAAAAAGGAAATTATCATAAGATAGTTGAGGTGACGTGGATATGCTAATGAAAGGTCAAAACATTAAAATAATAATAATAATAATAGTTTAACAATGACATGTCCAAATTCACCTTGCTTTGGCTGGCTAGATGAATTCGAAAGTTCATGCTCTGTCATTTCTGACTTGGGACCAGATGATTCAGCCATGTCAGATACTCCATTAGACTCAACTTTGGGAGGCTCAGAAGCAGTTACATTATCCTTCAAGGGCGCATCAGATGACACAGCTGGCTCTGAGGAAGTTGTTGAATTGTTTGACCCTCTCCGATTCCTTCCCTTATTAGATTTGCCAGCCATTTGCACCAACCTGATTCGAATACCTTAATTCATTAGCACATAAAGAGTCCAGAAAAGTTCTAAAATGAGTTGGATGTTTTACACCCAAAATCTGGGGCAGAGAATACAAATATTATGTGCATGTGCGTGTGTGTGTAATATCCTTTAAACTTTAAAAAGAAAATAACTACATATGCAAACATATGCTGTGAATTCTATTAAACCCCTGAATAAAGTAGAAGGCAGAACAAAACAACAAGGAATTTTCCCAAACCCTGAACAGGCAGAATGAAGCATAAAACACCATTATCAGTTTGAAATCATGAGAATGATACACTAATATGAATGCCCATAAGCCATATATAGAGTTGAAGTCTAAATAACAAATTTCAAAAGAATTGAAAGAAAAAGGAAATCTCCATGTCACCTAATAAGAGGCAAAATCCATATTACACAAACTTCTGAACAGTAAAAGCAGGACAAGAAAATCGAATGCATTAAACTTTCCAGGTATATATGTATGTATATGTATTACACAAACTGAAAAACAGTAAAAGAAGGACAAGAAAATTGAATGTATTAAACCTTCATGAGTGTGTGTGTATATATAAGACCGATTTCAAAGAACAATGAAAGCCGCCCAATCCACTAAATTTCAGAGTTGCAACTCAGTACCATTTTTCAGAAATTTACACATACGCAAAACATAAAAGAAGGAAAAAGGAAGTGATGAAACTTCCCATTTCCTTGAGAGTTGAATGTTACTAACACTATTATGGTACCATAGCACACAAGAGGTGGGTAAAGGTCTAATGAGAAATGAAACTAGTATCATGTTACCTAAAGGAACTCCAATCGCAAGTCAACCGCAAACGCTGCGTTCCTGTATAAAGTTGGAGAAAAGAAAAACAGAGAGAAAGAGTAGGCAACGAAGTGAGGTTTTAGGAGGGGAAGAAAAGAGGGCAATGGCTCAGAGGCGGCGAAATCTCGCCCTTTTTTGATTGCTCTCTCTCTCCCTGCACCGTATTATTGATTATTTATGAGAATGAGACCGTCAATTATTATTATTGGATAGGACTCCGTTGGGACCGAGAGAGAACCCAATCAATCAGCTTGGGCTTGGTCTTGAGCTTCGGCCTGGGCCTTTTCTTTCTACTTCGTTCCTGCTCCTGCCGCTTCTTTTTGGTGTCATGCGCAGCGCACGTGACCAGCCTGCTATTAAATCATATACGGTACGTACTTTACCCGCAAAGTTAGCACTTCTTGAACTATATGCAATTCACTTTTCTACCATTAGCGATAGAACCTTTCAAACTCTTTTGAGACCTAAGTTGAACCATTCTTTTAATTAAAATCAGTCATAGAATGCATAAACAAGTTTATTCAACCCATCACATTAGTACATGATTTGAGTAAATAATTATTATATATGTCTAGGAACAAGCGGACCATATCATTAAGTGTCAAGTAGATTTTGTACATTAAAATAAGTTGATTTAGGGTGCATATGGTCTCAGAGTTAGGAGGAGAAAAAGATATGTGAACTTTTAACTTTTAGCTCTCTCAAGAATTATGTGATACTAACCATAAGCACCAGCGTATGCCTAAGTTATTTTAATAGTAAGACATTCACCTATTTCAATGAATACAATCTCGAAACGAGATTGAAGATAAACCAAAAGCACCATAGTGTTTGATAAGCTATATATTAGTTACTACAAATTGTGATTTATATTTTACTATTAATAATCCGTATATAATAATGAAATATTTGTTGTCTAGATTTTGATTAACTCCTCTTGCTTCATTATATTAGTATCTAAAGTTTGAATTATATCTTATGATCAATTGAAAAAAATGAATCGACTATGCAATAAGATAGAAAATGAATTTAAAGACTTTTTAACGGAAAATGCAATTGTTAAAAATTAATGTGCTTGAATGAATTATTAATTATTATAAACATAGCTATGAACATAATTCAGTTTCAGTTTTATTTATGAAATAAGCATTTATAATTATACCATAGCCTTATAATTAAAGATCCATTAATTAATATATATGCTAAAGCTAGCCACCCACGGTGCACAGATAAAAAAAGTTTTCCTTCTATTTTGACAAAAAAAGAATTTAGACTAGTTACTACATAAATTCTTCCAACTTAAAAGGAAATTCCAAATCGTACGCCCCGGCGCACCCTATAAGATTCCCCTCTCCCGCCATCACAAAACGGCCCGCGGTATTTGTTCCCTCTCGCTCTCTCTAAACTAAACTTCACGTATTCTCCCTTTAAAAGGACGAGGAAAAAAATAATAGAGAATCCAAAATTCGGCACCAAATATTCTTTAAAAAAGAAAAGAAAAGAAATTGACAAATGGAGCTACCGGTGATAGATCTAGCACCGTATTTGGAGATCGCTGGGAATAGGGATGGTCAGTCAGCGAAGCGAGCGAGTGGACTCAGCGAGTTGTGCCGTGAATTGAGTCGACTGCTTAAGGAAACGGGGGCGTTACTGGTTAAGGATCCGCGTTGTACGGCGGAAGACAACGATCGGTTCATTGATATGATGGAGAACTACTTCGAGAAGCCTGCCGAGTTCAAGCGCTTGCAGGAGCGTCCGTATCTGCATTACCAGGTTCGCCTTTTCTTTTTCTCTGTAATTATCGTTCATTATCTAATTTTTGTTCTTCTGATTTGTTTGGCTGCTGAAGAACTTTCATTGCAATTTGGATGCTTGCTAGAATTTTGAACTAGCCGTATAGAGTTTTTGTGTTGTGTTGTTTGGTTGAAATGTGTGGTGGAGAGCGAAACAAGTTCGACTGATATGTGGAAAAGAGTGGAAATTATTTCTGAAAAGTCGAAGATGCTTATTTCATTGCGCAGATAAGATTTTAGGAGAACATTCAAAGTTATATGTATACTTCAAAACTTTTTTCTCATCGGTTTATTGAGGTGCTGCCCTGTAAAATACTTAAATATTATAAATTGACTCAATTAGGTTCTTTTGCTTTCTCCAAATGAAACAAAAGAAGCTTACATCTCCACCTATATATTCTCCATAAAAAGATCAAGGGAGATCTTATTGTGTTGGTTTCTTAGTTCTTACTCGGATATCTGTTTGTTTCAGCAAAAACCATATAAATATTTGATTTTACTTTTTATCCAAATGGATATTACAGGTAGGAGTAACACCAGAGGGTGTGGAAGTTCCAAGAAGCTTGGTCGATAGAGAAATGCAAGAGAAGTTAAGGGCAATGCCCAAAGAGCACCAACCATACACTCCCAAGGGGCCCGATCCCAAGTGGCGATACATGTGGAGAGTAGGGCCTCGCCCTTTGAATACCCGCTTTCAGGTCTCATATCTTTCTCTTCTCTTCTCTTGCAAACATGTTCAAATGATATCAAGGCTTATGCTGATTTCATTCTCTTCATTTTTCCTTCCTTGCAGGAACTTAATTCTGAACCTGTCATACCTGAAGGTTTCCCTGAATGGAAAGAGACCATGGACTCTTGGGGATACAAAATGATATCAGCAATAGAGGTGAGTCGTTGTTGATTTGCTTGCCTTTATGTGATCCATTTTATCTGAAGACTAAAGTTAGTATGTTGCTATTCTTGCTTAGGCTGTTGCTGAAATGGCAGCAATTGGGTTTGGGCTGCCAAAAGATGCATTTACTTCCCTTATGAAGCAGGTATGAAATAATCAGTTTCAGATTGAACTTTTTAAGTATTCCTACATCAATGTCTTCCTTCCAACTTACTGCTGTTCATTCTTGTGATAAAAAGTATCTGGAATAATAGGAATGAGAAATGAAGATTATGAATGGTCTATTTAAGGCTTTGTTGGCTTGCAGGCGCACCAATTACTTTTCATGGTTTTCTCTCTTTCTTATTTTTTTTAGTGGGATCCATATATCTCTACTTTTTCATTGTGGGATAAGCAATATTAGTGCTACCTTGATGAGGTTCTTTGTTTCACTATTTTTTGTGGTAGTGATCTTGTTTTTAAGTCATGGCGTCTCATGCTATATATTCTTTGTTTGCAATAGAGTGATGGTGCACATTATATACTTTTTCATTTTTTGTTGGGAAGCTTATCACTTATCTATATTTTGCACTTGACAAGAAATCATTTTGCCTTCCAAATCCAGGGGCCACATCTTCTAGCTCCAACAGGGAGTGACCTCAGATGTTATGGACAGGAGGGCACTGTGTTTGCAGGCTACCACTATGACCTTAACTTTTTAACTATTCATGGAAGGAGTAGGTTCCCTGGTCTAAACATTTGGTTAAGGAATGGGAAAAAGGTTGAGGTGAAGGTTCCTGTAGGATGTCTTCTAATTCAGACTGGAAAGCAGGTAAGAATGTGAGCACTGATGTCTATTGCTTCATGATAATGATAGTTATTGCCTGTGAACCGGTTAGCCAACCTAGTTACTGTCTTTCTAGGTAAACAATGTAATACATCTTCCAAAAAAAAAAGTCACATGTCTAGATGCCCTGTTCTAATGATCAGAAAAGTTGGTTTAATTTTCCGTATGGTGATTTTCCTATGATTGATATTCTTTCATTGGCATCTCCCTTCATGTCTTATTTATAGCAAGCTTATGTAATTCTTTGTACGTTAAGATTGAGAGACATCATTGCTCAATGCAAATGGTCGAGTGCCATAGATGGTAGAGAATATACAAATGTAAATGAAAGTGCACAGTTAGAACAGCACAGCCTTTTGGGTATGAGCTAGAGCTACCCTTGCATATCTCAGCCATTGGACTGAGAATGAAAAACTAGAAATTCTTGGAGTTTTTAAATTTTTTTAGTTCCATCATTTTTTTGCCCGTAATTTTGGAAACTTTGTGGATAGTGATTTAATTAACTTCTTCCTTGGTATATTGAATTAAGCATCATGCATTACACACAATAATTATTTCATTGTCACTCCTCTGTCCTGTGCAGATAGAATGGTTGACTGCTGGTGAGTGCACAGCTGGTATGCATGAAGTTGTTGTCACAAAGAGGACAATTGATGCTATAAAGGTGGCATCTGAGCAAAATCATAGCCTATGGAGAGTATCCTCGACAGTGAGTGAACTGAACCATATCTTAGCCATCAATTTGGCATTTGAAAAACAACAGTTTTGAGATATTTTTTGGTCTTGTGCAGTTGTTCGCACACATAGCTTCAGATGCAGTGTTAAAGCCTCTCGGCCACTTTTCAAAATCACCCCTTGCCAGCAAATATCCGCCTATATGTGCGGGAGAATTTGTTGAACAAGAGCTTGCAGTAATTAATCTGAAAGGAAATAAAGGGGAATCGTGATAAATTTGTTTCCCGTTATATAATAAATCATACACTATTGTTGTTCCAAGATGCAAATGACCTTTCAAGGGTATTTGGTTTAGATTATTTGCAAGAAAGGTGGTCAACATTATGGTATTTAAAATGTTACATGGTCTAATATTTCTGTTGATTCTTGCAAATTCATTTAAAATATAGAACATTGCTTTTTCAATGTCTTTGTTAGTTGTCTCTATGATTGTATTAGTGCATAAATTTCATTTAAATAAGAATGATGCAGTCATTTCACTGCTGAATGGGATGGACATGAATATTAAATTATCACCATTTTGATAACATGGATCCCAATTTGTTTTGCATTTTTCTTTTTTGGTTGGGGTGGGGGGAAGGAGTGGGAGCACCTATGCTAAGTGCATATCAGTCTCTTATTATAAAGCATCCTGATTAGCTTGTGGCATGGTCAACATACAGCCAATTGATGATGAGAAACAGGTAATCTACTGAGTGTTTAGAAAATAAAGGAAAGCCATTTTGTATCCTGTGGCACAGATTTCTGATGCAGCAAAGTTGACCATGACAGGTATGCCTGAGAACAGCTGACTAACATAATCCACATCTTTTTCAGGTTTTAAGCTCTGAGTAACCAATATCAGTATTACTCAAAATTTTTAAAAGTTAAAAGAGTCATGAAATTTTGGTTTACTAACTGTTTTAAAAGTTAAAAGAGTCAGTTTCTCTGTGAAAATCAGATCAAAAGCAGAATCAGCATAGAAATGGCACGAAGTGTATGATCTGTGGTTAGGATAGAGGTACCTAATCGCATGACATGAGTGGCTTTCATATATATAGATGTCTGCTTGGCGAGACAATTTCCTTGTCAGAGGAAAGCATTCTAAGGGTGATTAATTAGAGCTTAAATATGAAGCTTTTTGACTCCAAGGCTCTGCCATTTTTGGTTTTTGTGTTTGTCCTAACAGGTTTGCTGGAGCACAGCGAGGGCTCTGCTTGTAGCAGCACCTTCTTCTCAGCGCTCGTGCAGCTAATACCCTGCAGAGCAGCAGTTGCCCCCTTTAGCCCTATTCCACCAAATGAGGCCTGCTGCAATGCCATCAAAGCTCTGGGGCAACCTTGTCTGTGTGTTCTTGTAAATGGCCCTCCCATATCTGGTGTTGATCGGAACATGGCCCTGCAGCTCCCTGAGAAATGCACTGCCAACTTTGAGCCATGTATTCTTTCCTTCTTTCCCTCTCTAATAGTTATCCTAAAAGGAAATTATAGTTCATGTTTTTCCTTATGTCCACAAATTAATGATTCGTTAAAACTTTTTTCTGATGCAGGTGATATAATGAAGTAGATGCATGTGTGATTTTTATGAATAAGTTTGTGGAGAGCTCGTGAGCGCCTTTCCCAATTAGTACTATTGGTAGATTGCCCAAAATAAAAGGATAGATGAAATGTAGTATATGTAAGCTTGTGGGCTTGTGTTGTCAAACTTCTTCGTCTTTTGGTTGCATATTAGAGTTTGTTTCGTTTGGTGAGAGTCCATTGGCTCTATTTTCTTTTATAATATGAACGTGTCTTCCTGCTGTGCTACTACTTGTTTAGAGATTCAGAAAGATACGCTTTCCCAGCCTTTATTCAGGCTAAAAGCATACTTTGAGCATTAAATTTGTTATTAGTTATTATTATGTGTAAGTTAAAAATGAGCGCCGGTACGGCTAGTATGACTTGAACAAATACAAATCACAAACTGCAATTTAGCGTACTTTGTATAATTGAGAAAATTTACTGGCAACTAAATAATCCCCGAACCATGTGAGAATTTATGAGTCAGATACAGATTACAAGCCAGATCTTCACGTAAAATACATTACATCATTGCAGGTTTGAACCAAAACCTATGCACCAATCAACAATAACAACTGAAATGCGATTACTTGATACACCAAATCTCTGCAAAGGATCCCTGGCCTGACACATAAAGATGGTATGATGCTACTAAAATTAGATGGATAAGACTCGCTCAAAGGAAGAGAGAGCACTTAAAGAAGGGTGTTTCCTAGCCCTATAGATAGCACCATTCCCCACATGCGTTAGTTGAAAGGAGAAACTCCTAGGATGATGCACAACAACTGGAACTCTTTCCTCCTGTTTCTGGCTCCTGTCCAGGGACGACGATCTTGGTTCCCTTGAGAAGTGATGCATTACCTCCAGACTCTTGTTCATCATTGGCTACCAGGTTTTTCTTGCTGATGATTCGGTATATTTCTGTTAGAACTGTAAGGAAAGCTGATTCCACGTTGGTGGCCTCAAGGGCTGATGTCTCCATGAAGAAGAGGCTTTCCCTTTGTGCAAATTCTTTAGCATCCTCTACGGGTACAGCTCGAAGGGAGCCGAGGTCAGACTTGTTGCCCACAAGCATTATCACAATATTTTTATCTGCATGTCCACGCAGTTCCTCTAGCCACTTTGCAACATGATCAAATGATGGACGCTTAGTTATGTCATAGACCAGCATTGCCCCCACGGCTCCTCTGTAATATGCACTTGTAACCGCCCGGTACCTGGGTGAACCACCAACACCACACATCGAACAAGGAAAACCTAATCTGATGTTAGGATGCTTTAATCATTTAAAGCATTAGAACACATTCGCAAAGAAAGAATTAAGAGACTCATCTCTGTTTGATCACCTAACAGAGTGTGTTAACTTTTCAGCAATATGCGCATGCACTTACATCTCATTCATGTGCTAGCCATCATATGTCAAGGAAGAATGTTCCTTAGCCCTTACTATATCCATGAATCATATATGGTTTTACAACTGATGAAGAAAACGATCACAGGAGAATGAAAAGGTACAGAGAATAAGCTACCAACTATAAGCTCATGGTATGATCCAGCTCAATCTCAAGATGATCAAAGCAGTGTAGGAAAAGGCAAGTTCTCAATGGTTGACAATGGGCATCATCCCAATTCCCACACACAGTAAATCATATTCATGTTTTCTGCTTTAATAAAGCTTAAATGGTCCTGAGTGCAATCCATTGTTACAGTGGATGCTGATGCATTTATGAGAACTCTGGAGGTAGAGGTTACATACCTCTCTTGACCAGCTGTATCCCAAATCTGAGCCTTGATGGTTTTGTGATCGACAAGCAGAGTTCTGGTTTGGAATTCGACGCCGATCGTCGCCTTGGAATCGATATTGAATTCATTCCTTGCGAAGCGCGCTAAGAGCTGCGATTTCCCCACTGCTGAGTCTCCTATCAGCACCACTTTGAACACGTAATCTATCTTCTGATTGAAATCCCTTTGCAAACTCGACATCTCTTTCTCTATCTATCTTACGAGTCAAACAATTCTCACTTGAAACAAAATTTCAAGATCCTACCCCGACTTGAAAAAACTCGATCGCTCGCTCTCTCTCGCTGGATTTACTACTGGACCCGACCCGACCCTGTTACGGAGTTAACAATCACATAGACAGAGAGTACACTTTCTAGGAAAGTTGAAGGCATAACAGGAAGAAAGAAAGAAAACTAAGCCTTTTGCCAATTGACAATGTGGCAGGCAGGCCGAAGAGGCGAATCAGACAGACTCTTCCAAAAAGGTAAAGGAAAAGTCAAAGCTAATTCTTTACTATAATATAGGAGTAGTAAATATTTTATAAGTTACTATTTTCAGTATTCGCAAAGGTAATTATGTCACTATTCAAAGGCAATTAATACTAGTTTAGAAAAAAACAAAAATAACAGTATCTTTCAAAAATAATAAATAGTTGAAAACTTTTGGTGGTGTAAGTATGCATATATCAATAGGAATGTATCAAGCATTGTTTAGTATTGCTGTGGTCGACAGCACTTGTTGTAACAGATTTCTGGGCTTGTTACATTATTAAAAAATTCTTTTTCTTGCTAGTAGTAACATGCTCATAACCAATTACGTTATGTCTCATCAATTGATTTAGAACATGGCTATGAGTTCATCATATATATCAAATCCACCCTTCAGTTTGTCATTTAAAATCAACAAAAATTGACTAGCATTACTTTGAGCGATCTGTATGTACTGATCTTGCCCTGGGGCTGGATGGGCCGACTGTGGCTGAAATGATAAAATTACAGAATAAACTATATATATTATTGAGAGACTTGAAAGTGAATACATTAATCAATAAGATATCAGCCTACAGGATCTGGATCAGGGTCTTACACCAAGGTTACAGCTGCAACCTACTTTACATGCACAAGCTCTCAACATTTCTATTATTTCTCCAATGCGCTACAAATGACTAGTTACCAACTTTCTCCCCCTTCTCAACTATCGCTGTCTGTACAGAAACTAATCAGGTAGAAAGGTTTGAGTAGTGTTTCTGTTTACTAGAACACGTGCACTTTGCTTTAGCATCCGTGAGTGTCTGCAAGAAAAAGAAACAGCATTTTTGTGAGGAGGTGTTCTGGTTTCGAGTTTCATGTGAAAACTTTCCTTTTGAGGCTGTGTCTTTTATCATATACCTTGACCTGCTTCTGAAGATCTTTAATGTACTCAACTGCCATATCTAACATATCTGCTGTATTTGTTTGCTGCCAAGAAAAAACAGAGAATTGAGTCCCTTTATATCTTGTTACTAAGCTCTGATTATTGTCAGGATGTGTAGAATGACAGATGCAGGGTCTAAGCTACCTTCTCCATGTTCGGGAAAAGACCTTGCAGTTTCCTCATTCTTTCACTAATCCTTGTTCTTCTCACCTGGAGTTTGCATACCACAACGAACAGAATTAAAGACCCGCTCGTGAATGAATATGAAAAACTCTGGCAAATTTTCGAAGGCTGTGTCTTGTTTGGGTGGGAGTGGGACAGTAAGCTCATGAATCTAGGAAAACTGAGAATACGAATGAAGAATGTTTAAATGATGAAACATACCCTCTCAGCAATGCTCCGTGGGTGAGTAGCACAACCTCTTTTGGCTCGAATCTTGCAAGGGACCGAGCCTTGAAACTGCCAAAGCTTCTCTACAACAGCCATCTCCGCACAAGTCCTAGGCAAACTCAAATGGTGTCTCAAAGCAGTAGAACGGTCGCTGTAATCCTGATTATGATTAAAGTTTAATAATATCAGTATTCAAACAAATGTTAGCAGAATGAAGAAAACTCAAGCAATGAATTGGAAGTGCCAGCTACCTGAGTTTGTGATCTGCTTAAATTACGAAATAAGTCCCCATCACTTTCTCTCGCTCTCTTCAGGCCACTGAGTGAAGCATTATTCCAAGAATCGGTCCCCAAGTTTGACACGAAGTGCCCATTGCTACCATTACCATTGCCCAAGCTTCCAGTCTCAGGACCACTCAATCCCATGCTTTCACTCTCAACTTCAGGGATTCGAGGCATATGCCTTGAACATGAAGATGGCCCAGAGGAGAAGCTGATATGATTATTATACAACCTACCACTACCGGTGGCTGTAGTTTCATCATTAGTACCATCGCAAGCCCGGAAAGTGCTCGCTTTTCCGATTACATTAAAACCTGCCAGTCATTAAGAATCGAGGTGATGATTAATAACCATAGCATCACCAAAGATGTATCAAGTTAAGAAACAATCAAAGCACAGGGAACCAGAAATTTACAAATTTCTCTCTGCATAGCTAGCATCTATATTAAATTTAGAACAACCCCAACCCAAATTCCTTTCCATTTATAGTTTTTCTCATTCTCTCATCCTAAGAATTTGCAAGATAAACCTTTCCTTTGCCAGACTACACGAGTAAAAGTCAACTCTAATAACAGAAAGACTTTCATTAAAAATCCATCTTTTGCAGCTTGAAGGAAGCATTGCTCCCAGGCAATCACATCGGAGATCAAAACAATGCAAAAGTTTGTATGGATTGGCAACTTTCTCAAGAAACAGAGCATCAGAAGAAATTAAGAATAAACAAATGATCATACAAACTTGATTAAGAACGAGATGAAAGGTTCGTACCATTATCTACGCCAAGGTTGGAGAAAAATTCTGCGGGGGAGCTGCTTTGCCTAACAAGATTGCAGCCATTTTCATTACCCGGCTTTGCTTGCATCGAATTCTCCAATCCCAAAGAGCTACTAAGACCAAATGAACTCTCCATGCTATTAGCAACACTAACTGTATTATCATTTGCCAAACTATGCACTGGTAAGCTTTGATACATTATTTCTGAACTATTAGAACATCCATTCTGTTGAGAAATAGGCTGCGACTCTTCTTGCTTCACAGATTTCTCTCCATATTCTTGCACATCATGACAACTGGAATTACCCGAACCATTACAAGACACCATAAAGAATGTTTCCATTTCAGGAGTTGAAGATCGGACACCGCGATAATCTTCGAATCCGGTGGCACTTGCGGTGACACTACCATTCACAAGGTTCTCAAGGAATGAGCCTGGCGCCGAGCGATAGCGCATTAGACCAGAATTATGCTGGTGATTTTGCTCAAGATAGTAACTTGAATCCGTGAATTCTTGCTTCTTTCTCAATTCTCCATCTGGAAACTTGAAATTAGAGCTGTATAAAACACTCATGTCTTTCGAGGATTCCTGTGAACAACCAAAAACATACATCAATGATAATTGAGCTCCAACAATTCCTTTTCCTTTTGTGTTTGATTTCATGCTAAGCTTGAAGCACAGATTCTATAACTAATGAATGAAAAAGAAAGTAATACTGTATCCAATGTCCACACCTGATAATTTCTATAAAAGATTCCAATTATGAAGATTGCTTGATCTTCTTAAGTTCCCAACTTCAAAACTTTGCTTAAACTTCTGGAGGTTGCTTCTTCAAAATTGGAGAAAACACCCAAGAGGAAACCTGCTTCTTCAAGTTAAATTGGCCGAATAGCTGCCAAGGAAAAGGTAAAAGAATTGACATTTCAGAGAGACTCCCCATGGAAACTAGTTGCATTCACACCACACCAGCCCTGAGATACTACTGTTCAAAGTTAAAGCTTAAGTTCTAAATTAAGCACTAAAACATAGAGGGAATGAGTGGAAAAGCATTCAAGAAAAGTAAACCAGCTTTTCATTACGTTAGAATCTTTCTTGAATTTTGTTCTTTTTCCATGAAAACAGCTTCAGACAAAGAGAAAAGAAGACATATGTACAGTACATGTATGTTCAGGTATTCTACAAGAGGAAGCAGCACTTGACAGCCAAAGAAAAAATTGGATTTTGATCATTCAAAATACCTTCAGATTTGTCGGTCTGAATCTAAACTCTAAAACTCTTTTTTCTTTTTTCTGCAGAGAACACTGAAATCAATAAAAAACCAAAAAGAGAGAAGAACTAGAAAGGGCAGGGAGCGAGCGCAAAGGGCAGCAGAGGCCAACAATCTTGTCTCCCCTCGAGGTACACCTATAAACTATACTGTTTCGTAAACACCCTTGACATGGGGTACTTATAGCAGACAAGCCATTGATGATGTAATGTGGTCCATGTAACATCACATGTAATGCAATGTAAGCAGATAAGATGCATAGGCTGACTAAACTACCCTGAAATGGAGTTTTAAATTACTGGGTCTGGGTTAAGCCGTTTCGAGGATATGTCAGCCAGCCAGCATCCGTTTGTGGAAACAGACAGTGATGTTTTGTGCATACAGTACTGCTACTGCTACTGCTACTGCTACTGCTATATGATTTTCGTGTGGTGGGTTTGTTTCAAAGTTGCAAGAAAACAACCTTATCTATCCTTGAAAGCATATGATGCTTTACTTATGGGTCAAGCCAGGCGTCTGAAGTCTAAGATGGAGGGTTCAGTGAATGCACGTGGGGACTAAAACGTGCCGTATCAATTAATAGCGATGGCTTTGGTGGTGTTCTTTGGGTCAATGGAAGAGGCAATCTCAATCTGCTGCTGCACATTAGACCCTTGTATTGTAGGACTCTTGCAATTACTAGGAATATAATATTGAGCAGCCTTATCCATCTACAAATTTCTGCTGCAGGCTCATAGTTTATTTGGTGAGCTGTATTCATAGCGGTTTTGAGGTCAAAATCATCCATCCTTTGGTTTTGTAAAACCTGGTTTTGGAGTTCCTGCTGACTGCTGATCAGGATATATATTATTCATGCAATATTTTGTATAAAATAAAACCATAAAAACCCCTTTTGGGTTCTTGAGTTGTTCACAAAAGCATGGGAACTGGGGAGCGGTATTGACATACCGTTAAAGGGTTTTGTTGGTCGACTGTCAAACGTACAAAATACAACTTAGTACTTGAGTACGTAGTATTATTCCTCATTTCCATGAAGCCCCCCACATGTTCGAATTAATAGCCTCTCCCAGGTTTATGTTCACACTCAAACAAGAATTGACTGTTTGCTTTTCTTCTTAATATATATATATATATATATAGGGAATATGGTTGTGAAAGAAGAAGAACTTCATTTCCAATTATATCTATTAGGTTCAGGCCACATTAATTCCTTGGTTGTCTGTGATTTCTTGGCTTTCAGGAAATGAAATGGTATATGGAGCAGTAATCATTTTCTAGAGAGAAATATGAAGGGCTAATTAGACCAACATACAACAAAAAAGAAAAGAGCTAGCATTGATAAAAAATCAACTTGATATAATCAAATACATATATGATTAATTAAAATCGATAATGGGTCAAAAGAAAAGAAAAGAAAAGAAATTCCACTCTTGATGGAAAGATTCACGTGTATTAGCAATACATTAAGAACTTCTTAGGTGCATGTTATTATATATGTATATAAACTGAACATATCTTCAAAAAAAAACTAACTTTACATTGATTGTATACGTTGACCATTATTTTTCTTATGAAGAAAGTCTAGTTATTGGGTGGTGTAGATGTAGCATACATTAATTCCATTTGGATATTTATTTGTCGAGAGTCGACATTATTAATTGGTAATATATATATATATATATATATATATATACATATATATATTCAAGATTCAATGCATTGGCAAGATAAAAGGACAAAATAAGAAAGGGTCTTGGTCAAGGTAATTATTAATTGATCCCTACCCTTAACTTATTACACCAAAATTAAGCAAAACCGGTGCTGTCGTTTAATCTAATGAAAGAATATTTTGCAAGTGGTTTTGCATTACATATATAATCAACATTCAAAGGAGAATTGATAATATTAATTATAGCAATTTCCATCACCAAACTGTTCAAAATAATTAAGCCCCACGCTAATCTCGTGATCTTAATTAGCTATTTAGTTATTTATGTTCAATTAATTGTCCATATATGGCTGATGGCTCCTACACCAGTTGACCTTGTATGCCAATGTCAACCCTCTCAAGTCGTGAGGAAACAAAGTCATATCGATCCACACATTCATCCAAGATCCAAGAACAGAAAAGGAGGGGGGTGTCGTCGGCCCACCTTTGACCGTCTTCATCGGCTTCTTCATATATAGCCGCACATCCAGTAAACGACGGCTTGCCAAGAAGTCAAAATTAAGTTTAAACCGATTAAATTTCAATAAAGTTGTGGCGCCTACACATGGTTTGAAGTTTGGAAAATGGCATACCCAAGTAATTAGTTTTACCTATTTACTTTGACATTATTTGGTTATTTACGGCTTAGGAAAGATCCAAACAACCACTTTATATATGGAGTTTCCCATTATATTATTTTTTCAGCGACTATATATATATATATATAAACTTGTTAACAAGTTTTGATGAATTTATTCAACAAATTATTAATACCCAAGAACGAATCATTTAGGTCAGGAGGCTGGTCTAATTCAACGTAACCCTGCCGACTACCAATGCACAGCAAACATTTTACGAGCAAGTCCCGTATATATACATCACATCTTGAGACGATTCTTTTCCCTTTGCTCACTCAAGTCATAGTTATAGTCTCACTGTTACCGCCCAAGAATTATTAGTATTATTCTTATTATTTCTCTCTACAAACTAATAAGGTCATTCCATGGCCATGTAAATTAAAGATAAAACAGCCAGAAACAGAAAAAGGAAAAAAGGCCAATTAGATTCTTTGACTCCACAAGTATATTAGTCGTTCGTCCTATTCGACTCCTTGAACTTGAAGGTAGCGTAGTGCATGTCATACTCCTTCCCCGCTCGTCTCACATGCATTCCATTGTCTTGGCAACTTCAATTTCCTCTTTTACCATGATTCATGCATTTTTTCAGCAAACTGTGATCACTTCAACACATACAAACAAGCTGACGAGTAGTGAGCTTTTGTTTCTCCCTAATTTAATTACGTAACGCTTGCTGCTACTGTTTTATTAATTTCAACAAAATATACATATACACACATATAGAAATGATCCAAGGGAAACACAGGTAATCAAAAGCTAAAGGCAAGATTATATATGCTCAAGATTTCAGCCTTTTAATAACACCTGCTAATGCTAATTAATTTTCTATATCATTCTAATTCAACCAATGAAACAAAAGAGCCTTTCCTTTAATTTTCATTTCGTTGGTCACCATCCAACACCAGCAGAGAGTGGCATGGCATTATGCTGAATGGAGCAGCATAGATAGGCGTGCACTTTTTGTAGCTATTCTGGCATTAGATGATGAGATGGGGTTAGGTTTTGTTGATAAAATGGCACTAGCTAGCATTGGTTAATATTGGAATATATATATATATATATATATATATATCTCTTTTTCCTTCCCTCTCTATCAATACACAGAATCAAACAAATACTTTTGTTCTTAAATGCCAGATATATTCGAATCTGACCATTTTGATAGAAGTTAAGAATATTTTAGACAGCAAAATTATATATGTTCTTTGCATGCTACGCAATCAGAATTTGGACATACCATTTATAAATCAAAAGGAACCCAATAACTTTATTCAAAAGTTCATTATATATAAATCTTGAAGTAAGATTGTTTAAGATGAGCTAGCCATCACCAAGAAACATAAAAAAGGATAAGCTAGCTGTGCCCTGGAAATATACATGATGGGGTGTTGGGTGATTAAAGCACATACTTGAAGCCGCCTTCACCTTGGAAGACTCTTGAAGGAAATTAAGTTCAAATGAGGACAGATTGAAAGTACTGCAAAACTGGATATAATATAAAATATTACTAACTCTCTACTTAAATTAATTAATCATTACTAGCACTTGTATAAGTATACATTTAATTAATTTAGAAATCTAAACATATATATATATATATATAAATATATGATGTGTACTCAACCTAATCTCTTGGCAAATGAACCCCTTGAGTCTGGGGGCCGTGGCCAGCTGGATTTAGATGTCACTTTTTTCGCAAGAATTGGATCCCAGTTTTAGGAACATGTGAGTGGTTAATCCTAACTAAATGAATGATAATTATTTCCATCATGATGCAAACAAGGCGTCCCGCAGATTCCGCTACACTAGTCGTACTGTTGTGATAGATAGAATGATATATTCCTGTAGCGTGCTTAATTGATTTATTCATGAGAAAGTTTTCGGGAAAAAAGGAGATGTGTATGTGCATCTTGCAACTAAATAAATAAGAGGATCCTACTGTCCTAGCAAACCACCATCCATCTTACTTTATTCCCAGCCAGCCATTCACGATCCTGAGCTTGAGATACGTGGTGAGGTTCTTCTTGTCTATCTTTGCAACAAATTGAAAAAGAAAAAAATTCAAGTGAGGTTGAGAATCAAGAAAGACCAAAGCAGCCCGATTTCAGGAGAGGAATTATTCTGCCTTTAATTTGGTGATGGCTCACGACTTGTTAACTCTCTTCTATCGTGCTAACTGGGAGCATTTACGTCATGGGATTGACACCTGACGGGGTCCAAGCCTGTGTGCCTTCCCGACTCTTCTTTTCTCTTTATATATATATCTGTCAGCACGGAAACGAAAAGCATCTCCCAAATATGGGATCTGAAAACCTAACCTCATCTCGACTCAAGAATAGAAAGCAGCGGAATTAAAGAAATCTTGAGGAAATGCCAAATCAAAAAGAAGCGATTAGAAAGTTTCAAATCGCGTGTCGGCTACGCCGTTAAAGCGTTAAGCAACTGTTTGCTCGTGGAGGGTAATGGAGCCACATGAAAGTTGTACTTTATTCTTCACTTCTTATCAAACAGCTCATCTTCTAGTATGTTTTACCTCCTATTTTTACTACTTGATACACTAGTCATTGTTAAAGACCAAAAGAGAGTTTTAAATAACTCTTCTGACTGACCAAAAACCATACGCTGTGTTGTTATCGGAAGCCAAATCAGATGGCTCTTGGTCATTGTCATCGCTCCGCCGATAAATCCACCAGTCACGAGCGGCTAATAGAAATTGCTGCCTTGTGCATCTAGTGGATAGCCAAAATGGCCTCACAGCCAACCACCACATTCTGTGCCGTGCTGAAATAAGTTGGACACAACCATTGGCCCCCTATCCCGTCTCCTTGACACACAGAAAAACAGATTCCATGAAGTCATCACCAGAGGCACACAGTCCCAAATCATGTGCTTTCACTTCCATACAAGGCAATCACCAGTTAACAGTCATATATGTGGGTACAAAACAATTTGTCATTAAACACTGAATAAACGTAACAAGGCAGTCTCCCTAGAAAATTGTCACAAACCAAAAAAATTAAAATAATAATAATAACAAAAAACAATAAGCATTTTTACTACATTTGATTCATTTCCCTCCAACCAGCCTCCTCGAGTAGATTATCTTCCACAACTTCGTCAATAGTATGCCTTTCGAGGATTGTTCTGCAAAGGACCAAATATTAGATCAAAACAAATATACCTCTATCACAATAACTCCTGCAGGTTTATAACTATCTGTGGACATTGCCATAAATATTCACCAAAGGCTAGAATCTTTATATCATAAAATGAAAAAGGCACGAGTCATATCATATACCAGAGGATTTGGTCTGTATCGATAACCAAGCAATTCGTTTTCTATATCTGCTCATATATATCATCCTCTGGAGTCACTCTCCAGGATGAGAGCACCAACCCCCAAATTGTTCATCTTTACATCACCAGCCAGATCGGATCTGAAATAACCCTTTCTGGAGCTCCTAAACCCTCACCTGAAATCCATGCAGCAAAGGTATTAAACCTCTCACTTAAGAGAAAAAAGGATACGATGCATACCAAAAGCCAATCTTTTTTTTTTTTTTTCCAAGGACACAAATCATTGCAGAAACATAACCAGAATCAGCATAAAAACACATAATCAGATATGAAAGAAATCAAGGTTGCTTCACTAAACTGCAGTGAAAAGCGCTGAAAGTTAATTCACCATCTGAAGCAATCTCATTAAGAAAAATAAGGCTGAGATGCCTCTTCTAAGCTCACAGCAACAATCTAACTTACTTGGTTGCCAAAATCTCTTCAAGCTTGATAATAAACACAATCCTCAAAATAGTTGCTAATATACCACAAAGGTGAAATGACATAAAAAAAAATTCTAGCATTTGTACCAGCAGTAGATTGCAAGGTAGAGAAAAGAAAAATTACCATTAAACATTTACATCCTTCATCTTTGATAATTTTCTTATCTCAATTCTCAGGATTCATTATTTAGATCAGATATAAATTATTGTATGTAAGACACTGTAGGTTAACACAGGCCAAGATATTGGAGCAAGAAATAGAAAGCAAGAGAGAGAGGATGAAAAGCCCTTCTTTCCAACATTTTTGACAAAAGTTTATGCCAACCATAACATTATCAGATATGAAATCTTTGCGTTCTCTGCGCGAGTCTCGCCGTGATAACTTATAATGTCAACAGTTAGTGGTGCAGAAAAGCGCGATCGATAGTCAAGGCAGCCAAAACCCTTCAAGATTCTATCTGAGTGGAGGAATGATAATGCACACCCATGATGATTTGAACACTTTTCTATCATAAAGAGCTGGCCTCTCTTCTAGCGCACCAAACAAGAATAAATAAGGAAAAGTGGATAGTATTGACAGCTATAGTAGGAAAAAAAAAAAACACCACGCTCATGCGAACACACAAGCAGACACACTTCAATCACGATAAAAATTCACCTTGAAGGGAAGGAGGTGGAGGCATCTCATCTTTGGACTGCTTAGGCAGTCTCATCTTCTCTTCCTGAGCAGCCTTCTTCATGTAAAACTCCATCATTGCTATAGGATCTGCACCTGTTGCGCCACTGGATGAACCTACAACTTAAAAGAGCATGGAAATATAACTCAGGCGAATAAAATTGTCCATTCATAATGTGTGTTGATATCAAAATCCAACAGCAAGGTACTAATACTCTAAGGTCGTTTATATTAAATTCACTCTAGAAGGACTATATAGCAGAAAGTATGATTTATATCATTAAAAAGACTAGACTGTCACAGGCATAGATCAATACTGAAATACAAGTAAATGAAAATTGTAGTCATTATCAAAACCCAACAGCAGGACAATAACACTTTCAGATCAGTTTGATTAGCAGAAAGCATGATCAATATCCTTTAAACAGATAGACATAGAGGTAGAGATATGAAGGAGTTGCTTCAAAAATGAAACATGAACAACATTTATATCAAAGAACTTGATAATCCAAGATATTGCAATCTGTACATGAAGGAAAGCCAAACTCACACACATCACATAAAAACAACACAAGTATCTCATGCATCATCACCTGCTCTTCTTTCTGACATCGCAGAAGATCTAGGCTCCTCATTATTCTCATACAAAGCCGAGGCAGGCATTTGATAACTTGATTGCTGCAGACCTGACCTAAGGGAGCTGCTTGTGGACTTAGTAGCTGAAAAGCTTGTACCACCTGAATAAAGCAATAATCATGTCATTACAGAACGATCAGGCATATCATCTTCGCATATTCAACAATCCCATATTTTTAAAATTTGTGAAGCCATTTCCTACCCTAATAGAGTATTATCAGCAATTCCAATCTTTATTATCTGGTGCATAACCAAAGATTAAAGTAACAAGCACAAATAATTGCAAAGGGTACTTTTTTCATTAAACAAACTTCCACAAAGAATTATGGTCAGAGCTCTAAGCAGATAACTTCAAAAAATTGCTACCTCACACTATGGTCGAGGGGGAAAAAAGAGATTGAGATACTAACCACTTTGAGGAGTTTGAGATTCCTTGTTCTGTATAAGAGCTTTTTCCTCTTCAGCAAGCCGGAATTCATAGTATTTGTAATCAGAACAGCTCTCATCAAAAAGGAATCTGCAAACAAGTATAATATCAAACACACAAAACATAGGAACCAAAAAGAAAGAAAGGGAAAAAAAGAAACAGAACGAAAAGAATGATGCAAAAACAAACATACTTAAAAGGTGTATCTCCAGGGTTTTTCTGACGTGTAATATGCTCAAACTGCCTTCCATTTTTGGCAACAAAACTTGCTAGTTTGTCTGCAACTTTCTTCACATTGGGATCACTTGGGGAAGGTGGTGCTGCATATCACTTATAAAATTGATTAATACCGAGAGCATGAAGAAGAGAATGCAAATTACTCTTGTAGCAGGCCTGCCACATATTCCAAATCTTTCATTGAACATCTCTTTCCACCAATGTTGATTGGTACTTAAGGTATAAGCTGCATTCATGAGACAAGAAATATTCAAGAATGTTTTGCCCTCTTCAACCATCACTTTAAGATCAGAGAAGACGTATGGCCGGATGACTTAATAAATCACAGCAGTTAATGAAGGGGGCTATTTAACTTAGATGTCTAGTAAAAATTTTCTTTATGAGAAGAGAAGACTATATAAGATTTCTAATAGAAGGAATTCTTTAGCTGGCTGAAAGATTACAAGTTAATAAAAAACAAAATCGGTCTAGAGTTCTGGTTGAGAAGAGGATATTACCTAGGCCTCTATTTATGTCAGTGAGAATATGACAGCCAGCAAAATAAGTTAGTAATTCAAACATTCATGTGCGCATTGCAGTTGAAAATGTATCCCAACATTCAGCCTATGTAAATCCTTAAGGACCACCAGTCACCAACTGCCACATAACAACATAAGTACAAAATTTATAAAAATAGTAATTACCAACATCCACTTGTTTTGATGCTAGTTCGGAGGTATCTGCTTGACACAACTTTTTCCGCTTTACAGGCGTGTCATCTGACAACTTTCCTGCATCTTGGTCCTCTTCATCCTCGTCTGCAGCCAACTTCACAGGAGGTGCCACAAGCTTTGACTTCTGTTTCAAGCTGAATGCAAGTTTGCCCCCGGAAGAAGTTTGGGAGGTCTTGCGTGGATCATTGTGCTTAAAATCCATGGAAATTTTGTTAAGAGCAATAGCAGGCTTGGGAGCTGAAGACCCTTTAACAATTTTGGGGGGTTTAGATTCCTCTAAAGCAGCAGCAGCTTTGTCTTTTTCATCCTTCTGTTGTTGAAGCTGTTTAAACCTCTCCATGAAGGAACCATCATTAACAAAAAGGCTAGATGGCACTCCTTTCTCCATTGGCTAAGAGCCAACAACACCTAAACGCTGTTTACAGGAAGTCACTGCTGGACAAGTAAAGCTTTCAAGCTATTTAGATATCGCAGTGTATCTTAAGGTCTAACTGGCAATAATCAATGGGCTAAACGCAGATATGACACAAAAGTATGCTGACCCGTTAAACATGAAATGTTAAATTCACATTGACAAAAGCAGAATTGTGAATTAAGCCTCTACTTTTCAATAACCAAACATAATTACAACATCAAAAAGGCTTATATTCCTATATTCTCATTTCTCAATGACAATGAGCACCTGATCGACTCCTAAAACTTCAATTTCGCTTTTCTTTTTTTCTTTCAAAAATTTAGCAATAATTATTTTCAGCCAAAACATAATCTTCTTTTTAAACCTAGTCTTATAGATAAAATTACCCTATAATATAGAAAGATATATCAGCACTAGTTTCTTGCATGACACCCAACAAACAACACAATAAGAGCAGATCTACGAAACATCCGATCCGCCGGAATACACATCCAACGGCCGTCGCATACGGCAGAAAACGATTTAAAATTTCTTAAATTCTGCACCACAAGAAACTCAAAAAGAGAAATAAAAAAAAAGGATGACGCCGACAAATCGACAGTGGCGGCAACGACTTGACCAAAGAGGAATTGAAGAAAAAAAATCGAGATACGTAAGACTTACCTGGTGAGGAGAGAGCTATCGTCGTGTTGATCTGAGCCTTTCAATCATATAAACAACAGAGAGAAAGGAAATTCTAGTAATTTTAATTTTATTTTGTCTAATATGTATTTATAATTGATAAAGAGAAGTCGGTTAGGTTTGGAATAGAAGAAGCGCACTCAGCAATGGGCGACGGATCACCACATAGTACACAAGTATTTCTATTCTCGTCTTCTTAAATACGGTTTTTTTTT